TAATCGAAGCAAAGGGATATCCAACCCGATATTAAAATCTATGTATAGATAGCCCTGTTTTTACTGAATAAAATAGTTATATTTTAATGTAATTTATTAATAAAAAAATCGAGTAATGAAGTGTCGAAGTTACCCTAATTTTCGTGATCTATCATTGCTGATTGTAAACTTTCGTATATAACCGTATATTGCATATGATAAACTGATAAATCAACAGAAGCATACAGTCAATGGTATACTGGAAACAGCATGCAGGGATCAGCCCCGAGTACTTACACTCAGGTACTTCCCCGGAGGCTTGCTTCCAAATATCTGACACAGGACGTAATGGCCATATGCCAGTAGGTATACACACATCCTGGATACTAGCATGCAGGGATCAGACCTTAAGTATGCACCCTAAGTACTTCCCTGGAGACTAGCACCAAACATCCAACGCAATTTCTAATAACAAAGTGGTAGCAAAAAAAAATGTGCGGGCATGTGACTATCGAGGCTGTCGACTGCTAGTTTGGGCAGAGATCATTAAAATTGTTAAATAATCAAATGGAATTCAGTTTATTGAAACAATCAACAGTTATCCTAAACAACTTTCCATACTAATAAATAATAAATCGAATGGGCAGGCGAAATCAGTCCCAAGTAATAGCGGACAACAACACAGGAGTGGCTAGAAATCGCTTTAGCCGTAGAGAAAATGCAGCAACGCGTCAAAACCAAACACGACAAACTAGTAATTATAGTACAATTCAGAAACTATACTTAATTCTGCCGGAATTCCAATTCAAAGGGAGGTCATTTTGATTCCTGATGATGACGAAGTGGAAACATCAACAATAAGTAATAATACTGGAGGAGGATCTTCTACCTTGGTAGAAGTCATCGAAATACCAGACAGTGATAGTGAGGAAGAAGACAACGACCCGGCGATAGAATTAATTTACATTTCGGATGTTAGTGATACCAGCTATTATTCTTACGACGAGGGAGAAGAAGAAAGAATTTACATTCCTGAAGAAATATATCAAAATTTCCAACTACCAGATAAATCTTAAATTATCTTAATCTTAATTTTTCATTTTTTTTTTACTTTATAATAGAGAATTTATTGAGAAGAATAAGAAACGTAGATCGCAAAGACGTAGGTTATGTTTTAAGTCTAAGACCAGTAGAACGGCGTTCACCTTCCCCTCGTGAAGGTTTCACCACGGATTTGACAGAAAATTTAAATCTGATCTGCTTCGAATGCAACAAACAGTTAACAAACGGAATGTGTGCCTTATTTTGTGGACATGTAGTGTGCGGGAGTTGTGGTGATGCTTTCGAATCGGACGAGAAAACTAATTGCTCAGTTTGTGGAGAGGTCATATGTCTTTCAGAAATTACACAACTTTATGTTTAATTTTTCTGATGGGGAACTTATAACATAGGACATTTATAATGGATGTTTTCGAAGAATTTATCGAGTCCCTTTATTTAATTATTGTAAGTAGTTTAGTTCGGAAAAATTTGGTTGATCGGTTTATATGGTTATTTGGAGTATTTTTTGATGATTTATTTGGACTACATGTTGAACGAATAGCTAGCTGGCCGATAGAATCTCTTTTTATATTTCTTTAATCTTATTAGAAAAGTTTGGAACTTTAAGGTATTCACTCAAAAATTTCTCTCAGTTTCGTTTGAGTACAAAAGCTTGGCATCAAGACTTTCAGGTTATCACAACAACCCAGCAGAAGTTTTTTGCTGATACTACTACTTATCCTAAAAATCTACGAAGAAAAAAGCGAAATATCGAAAACAAAGCGTAAGCCGAGAGGCAACATAGCGTGTCTAGTGAATCAATGCAACACTAAACCCATTGTAGATAACAATCGATGATTTTCAAATAGCGAAGTATAGGATAACATGTGCACAGGCATTCAAGTTGTTGGAGTGATTAGGCAGAGTTAAAGAATGAACCGTATCTTCTTTTCTCAAGAAAACTTTTGTAGTAATGAGTTTGACTTAGAAATCGTCGCGGAAATAGCATTGCGAGTAAATCAGTGGTCAATTTTCGTAGAAATTTAGAAGGTCTCAATCATCAGTCCAAATTAGACTAGAGCTAGCGTAAGTGCAAGAGTTAGGGTTAAGATTGCTGTTGACCGAAAGATTCTAAGTCCACGCACACTAAGTGGATTCCGATATCCCATTCCCATTTACAACACATGTAAAGCTCAAAATTGGAAACAGAAAATTAGAAAATTTAAAGATGAAAAATCAAAAAAAAAAAACAAGGACCCGCTAGTTCAAGCACAAATAGGGGAGTTCATATTAATGAAATCACCAATGGTAAAAAAGAGACAAAAAAGTCAAATTCTGACTATACAACTTGAAGAAGCCAAACTGTCTGAGCTCCCGCAAAATCAAGCCATCTTAGAATCTGAGTAATAAGAGTTTCAAAATTCTTTTGCCAACTTGGCAAATCCAGATCCCGCAAATCAAGAAATCTTAATGATATCCGTAAGCAAAACTGAGAGGATCAAACTGTTATGAAGAATCCAAACTCCCCAAAATCAAGAGATCTGGAATCAAAGCTTTCAAGAATAGCAATAAGAAATAAAAGTCACGGATACAAAACACCGTCGCTGATTGTGTTAACAGAAAGATAAGAATATCCGGATTTCTTGATCAAATTAAGAGTATCATGCGAGTATGGTGCAAGCAGTCTAAAGCCATTCAATACTTTAAACTATAAAGGATTTGTATCCAATACTTTAATTACAAAAAAATTGTTAAATACCTTTTGATAAGAACTATAATATAAAGGATTTTTTTGTACAGTATAATATTAGTTTTAATAAATTTTCAGCACTGGCTATATTACATGAACAATTTCTGATTGGTTGGATTTCTTCATGCAAAAATACATGATTGTTTTAAATAAATAAAGATGCATAAATTTTTGATCAACCCGGCAAAACAAATCCGACACAAGAAATTAAAAAGGCGAATAATGTGAAAGATACAGAAAACGAATGGGTAAACCTGGCTCGAAGCACTAATAAAAAATGTCGGAAGACAATTTTACATATAATCTTCCCTTCAGTCCTAACCCTAACCCTTAAGCCTAGAGATAAAACTAACCTTTAATATCCTCAACCAATCAGAACTTGGGGGGAATTAGTAAATTCCGTTAAGATTACCAGGTTTCGATGTTAACAAGCTTGACGGAACTTCGGATACCTATGTCCAAACATTTATTGATAAGCTGCATAGTTCACGGAAACTTACAAGAATTCACCTGCTATGCAGACTTATTCTTGCAGGCGAGTCATATATTTCAGCAAATTCTGAATTTGTAGAGGTGTCCATACTTTTGTTGACTCGAACAATCTTTTTCAATAGCATATTGGAAGGAACTTACCGCAAGGATTGAAAGATGGTCAGGGAGAATGGTAAACAGACTGGTCTAGATATTGCAAAACCGGGTGGAAGACAAAAAGTGCTAACAGCATTGATCAAAGTTCGTCAAAATCTTATGTAGTAGACGAAAAGCAGTTATATTCATAGTTCATAGCATGATAGGATTTGATTGGTTACACTCGGGAACACTTTGCAACTCATTTTCGCGTGCTTTATTTCATTACGATTTATTTGTGTCATTTGCGCTAAAAATAAGAATTTTCGTGCAAAGTGTGCGTGCTAATTGCTGGATTGACGGAATCGGATGTTCCCATTGTTGAATGGGAAGTAGAATAAGGGAAGGGTGCGGGTAGGATCTTGGCCCGTGTCATGAATGAAAAAAATCAAGTGGGTTAAATCGTGCAGATGCTATTGCGAGTCTCAAATCAAAAGTATTATAGATTAAAATCATAAAGATCAATATATAGATTCGATAATTAAGTTGATTTTATCAATTTTATTTGGATCGTCTATCTCTATACATGTATATCTCTTTTTTTCCCGGTTCATTTGTACATAAAAAATAAAAATAAAATAATACAATTAAATACAACAATTAATTAATTACATTAATAAAACGTTAGGTGACGAATTTCTTTAATAATGAAGATGATGAAAGATGAAATGAAATTTTTTTGAAGGTTATATATCAAGTAATAAATATGCATGTAAGAAAATTAAAAAAAAAAGATTGTCCGATGAAGAAATGAATAACTAATAAATTAAGTAAATAAATGATAACAATTGGTAAATATACAGTCAAATCCCTCTATAGTCACGCCCGTTTATATTCATATCTCTCTATAGTCACCCTATTTGCTTTCCCATTTACAAAAAAAAAACCCCTCTATAGTCACATCCCCTCTATAGTCACCAAATTTTGCTTTCCCGAGGGTGGTGACTATAGAGGGGTTTGACTGTAGTAGTGAAGTAAACAAAAGAAAGGTTCTATGAAATTCAATAAATATGCTATTTGCCCACTATAATGCAAAACGTTATCAATTATCAAAAAAGTAAAAGGCAGTGTTTCTAAGATATAAAAAAAATGTCCATCTAATGAAAAACCGACTCCATCCTAACCCAATATAAAAAAAATCCATTCATCCAAACCCAAAGTTCACTGATCACTGGTATCGCCGCAACCGACTTGTTGCACCCGGAGCCATAGGACTGGTGCTCTGGACTTCCTGTGCAAGATGATGCTGATGTTGCATCATCATTGCAATTCGATCTTCTTGTAGTTGTGCTTGACGTCTTGCCTCGTTTAATAATCGAGCATATGATTCTGAATTATATGGGAATGATAAACCATCTCCCTGCGCACCACCCAACGGGACTATACAAAAAAGTCATGTGTCATTACCGAGTCAACAATAAAGATAAACCAATAAACATGTAATACTCACCAAACCACAACCACCACTTCGATCCCATTGCCGCCTTAAAATTATTCCGCCATCCTAAATCCCACAAATTCTCACCAGGCTGTGTGGTAGGAACCCCATATCCCAGAGGATTATCAGTGTCAAATTGTATGCGTACGGGATATTGACGTGTCGTAACACCAATACTTTCGATGGTGGTTATATTTTGAAATATGTATGTTGTGTGTACAGTGGTGAATCCGGATAATAGAATTCCAAATATGAATGCTCTTTAAATAGGAGGCGTAATCAGTCAACATATGAAAGATTAAAGCATTTTATAGATATAATCTGGTACTTACAATATTAGTAAAACAATCCATTGAATATCTAAATCTTTCTATTTCAAAACATTAAATATCAGATATTAGATCGATTCTCTTCCCTCAAAATTCTCTATACAATAATTATACTTACCTCATCTTTTGCTCGTTGTACTAAAATTGGTATTGTAGCAGCGAACATGAAATCCGCGTATAACGACGTGTAAAAAATAAATAAGTAAAAAAACTTATAATTCTTGTGACCAACACATCCATTTACCCTAAATGATAAATTTTAAATCAATATAAAAATCGAGGATAAATAAACTTGCAATAAATTTAAGATCTCTTACCATGGACAATGACTATAATTATTAATATGAAATAAAAGTAATTGTTATTATTATTATTATTATTATTATTATTCAATAGAAAATAAATAAAACTTACTGATCCATTCTCAATACACAAATATCACACTCTGAACAATGATGACATCGATCCGGTTTCACGTGATTGCAACGTTCACAAAATCGTAATTGACCATTCTTTTTACTCACAGCAATACTTGGCATTGGTATCTGGGTTTGTGCCACTGAGTTTAGCATTGAAGATAACGGTGGTGGATGCAATGTTATTGTCATTGGTGATGATGTTGGTGATGATGTTGGTGATGATGATGATGATGAAGATACTGTTACAGTTTGGTGTGATAACGCAACTGTTGGTGATGCTGCTGCTGATGATGATGTCGGCAGTCCTGAATTATTTCGTGGTGATGTAGCGTTTATTGTTGTTAATGTACCATGATTTCCTGATGATGTAGTATTTAATGATGTTGTAGGTGTGTCATGATTTTCATTGATTGTTGGTAATGGATTTGGTGAAGTTCGCAGATGAGCACTTTTGATGGGTTGAACTACGTCATTATTAAATGCTAGAGAATCCGATTGATGTGTCATTTGATGACTCATTTTTGATGATGATGCCGATGCAGAATCCACTTCCAATGATGAATCGGATTCATTATGCATTAATTCTGATGATGTTCCTGTTATCGAATGTGCTATAGCAGAAGGTTCTGGTTGTATTGGTATTCGTGGTGATGGAATTGAAGTTTCTGGCTTTTTTGTAAATACGCAAAAAAATCTCGATAATTAGAATTGAATAGAGAAGAACAAATTTGAATCATATATAAAAATAAAATTAACAAATTTACATTTGTAGGTGATCCAGGATTTCTAAATAATACTCTCATGTACGACCATAATACCATCACAAACAGTAGATTAGATATCGATAAATATACGACTAAATTTTTTATTGTATTTCAAAAGATTATGATTAGCAAACTAAGTCAGAAAAAGAAATACAATGTAAAACAAGAATACCTGCTTGTGTTATGTTTGATTTTAATAATTGACCAACTATAATAATGATAACATACAATTAGCATTAACCAAAACAAAATTGATGAATTCCCAATGTTTTCTCCATCCAAACAAAAAATCATTTACCGCATATCCGAAACACAAACACGTAAAAAGTATATCCGACCAGCGCAAACACGATCACTGGCATAAATCTACCAACAAGTATCGTCAACGAACTCATTATTATTATTATTATTATTATTATTCGATATTTTATTGTTTGATTTTTTTTATGGTTTAAGTTAATTGATTGAATGACTGATTGATTAAATGTTTTTCGTTCTCATAGATCCACTATAATAATCGAATTTTGAAATTAATGTGTCCGAATTCTTCTTCGCGTTCTATCAAGTTCTATTATTATATCTACTCTATTTATATCACTGCACAAATATGCAATGTATTTCGTATAATTATATGTAGAAGGCTATGCGTTCAATTTAATAAAAGAGAATTTAAAAGATCGTAAACGACAAGAAAAGTCACAGAGCCTAAAACTTTAAGTAACGAAAAGAAAAGACCCCAAAACTAAATCGAAAAAGTAAAGAAGGGAAATCAGAGACACATGAACGGTGAAACCGCAAAACAAATAGGGAAAGTAGATCCAGGAAAGTTCTAGTGTTCTTTTTTTGTGGAATTTTCTCTGCTCATAATACAAACGGTTCGTCGTGGTTGTCGTGGTCGCGTTTTATACTTGACACACTATCTCCTCACTCAAATAAAATAAAAAGGCACAAACAAAAGACGCTTATATTGATATGGACAAAAGCGTGGAGTGTACCAAAAAAAATAAACATATTTATTTATCTATGTATTACCGTAATTATATATGTGTATATAAGATCAATACAAAAGAACGGGATGATATCGAAAAAGGGAACCACACAATTATGATTATATGCACACACTCATTCAACATTTATATGTAGCTTGTCTTTATGAAATAATGATTAAAAACAATCGAGATTAACTTAAATCTGTATCTTTGTTGTCATTATCCACAATGAATGATCGATACCTATCCAAGAAAATACAATAAGAGAAGTTTTTAATTAATTGCGATTGTAGTGGTTCAATCAACGTAACACTCCCTTCACTCCCTTCAACAAGTGTTTGAAATCGATTTTTGTCGACTCCTGTTCTTCTCACTGCCAATGATGTCTAAAAGGTTTACAAATTTTTTAATAGAATTACTTATTGGCGTTAGCGTTAGAGAATTCACTTAACAGAGAAAATTTCGCTTATGATACATTAGACTTGATTTCCATAGACAATACGTAATATCGATATAATGCAATTAATCTAGCTACTATTGTAAATAGTTCTATCTACGTTTGTTAGATAATTTAAGATAATTTGATAAAATCATAGGGATATCGCTGCATAATGATATCTTTTAATTTATTCATCCGGAGTAGACTTCAGTTCGGCTTCTTGGACACTAATTTGTTATCAAAATGGATAAGAATAATTATGGTAATACGTCACCGGATAGCCCAACACCATTAAAATATTCAAAATATCTTTCTGCGTACTTATCGCAAACAAGAATTGTCGATCAAGGTACTACCGTCGCTTCCTCTTGTGACGTGAGTAAAGAAAATGAATCACCCGCGTATTCATCGTTATCATCTTCAACGTTGTCAAATTCTTTGATGTTATCATCAAGAAATTGGGATCTCAAAAAGTTGATTTCGAAAGTGGATAATATCGCACATACACTTGATGAAACTCTAATAATTATCCGAGGAAAATCGTCGAAAGAAAGTAGTAGTAATGAAAATGGTAATGAAAATGGTAATGGTAATGAAAATGGTAATGAAAATGATAATGATAATGAGAAAGAAGATGTTAAACAAGAGTCGTTCATGGACGAATTAAAACATTTGCGTGAAGCTGTATCTCAATATAGTCAGTTGGACGAATCCATCAAGCGTATGAGTAAGTTTTTATCATTTTGCAGTATCGAAGTAGGTAAAAACACTAAATACATAAAAACACGATATCACAGTCGAAAAGACGCAAGTCAGTCTAAAATCAGAAATCACACAAGAACTCCTGAATCAAATCACGGCCCAATTGTCAGAATTTCGACAAGAATTATCCAAAATAGTTGAAGACAATACACAATTACAGGAAATAAAGTATCAGGCAACATTTCAAAGTGTCGCTGAATCGCAAGCATGGAATTTGGTCGAGATCCGAAATGAACTTAACGCTCATCGGCAACTGCTAGATGCCATAATAGAGGTTTTCCATTTTGGCCATTACGCGTCTTTTTATTATAAATTTGGATCTGCGCTGATTCTTCTTTGATTCAGCAAAATAAATCGATATTCCAACTTCATGAACGTTATTTATTAGATTTTCAAAACAGAGGTTCTAATTGATTAATATCTTGATTTTCTAATGAAATAGCAACATTAACTCTATTTTTTCATTTTATACATTTGTATAGAAATATTGAAAGAGATGAATAGTATTAATAACAACAGTAATAGGATTTTCAAGGATCCGATGATTGATAATGATGTAAAACATGAATTTATTCATGAACTCGATGCTCATACTACCAACAACAACAATCATCAACATCATCATCTATTCAATAACCTATCGCCGTTATATACAAATCGGATGACTATGAACTTTAATTTGCCTCAGTCTCAGATTCATCAAAGTCATTTCTCTAAAACGAATAATATTAATTGTCGGTTACCACCACCACCACCACCCCCACCACTGACAATACTCACCAAGAACCAGCAGCATAAGTACCAGTTATCTTCGGGTGATGACGACGACAACAACAACAACAGTAATGAGCTCATGGAATTACCTTCACTCAGAAATCTGACTGATGTTTCTCGTGCAAGGTAAAAATAATGATAATAATATACGATCATCTCAAAAGTCCACGTTTAGTAAAATAAAATAAATTTCCTTAGTGAAAGGAATTCGATAGTTTCTTCTGATTCTGATATTGCGAGGAATACAACGACATCCTTTCCACGAATCCAGAACCAGCAGCCCAGTAATAATATTACTAATACTAGTATTTCGGAAGGAAAATCAAAATTCAAGGTATTTCTATGTCTATATGCTTGTTGGTTAAATTCTTGCATTTTCATGCACCTTCGATGACTGACTGATTCAACAAGGCCAATAAGAAACGGAAATTGATTGTTGATGACTAATCTGACTCCTACTAGCGATCGACAAAATGATATTTCTTATTAGAAATGTGTTTCATTGATTATTGTTCGAATAAGGTTAAGCGTAGAGAATAAATAATATAGATCGCCAAAAATTGTTGCCAGATGCGCAAAAATAATGATTATCAACTCTCCACAAACATAGATCTACTTATATTCTTGTACGCCAAAAAATTATGTCACGACCAAATCCCCAACAGAAAAAGTCGCACGCTCTGGTAAAATTTATTTTATTAGCGTTAGTCTCGAAATGGACTCTATTTTATCATTATCCACTTTCCAAATCTGATCTTTACACAAAAATTATTTAAATCGATGTCTGCATCTATTCCGAAATAATAAAATCTGATTATTTTCAGTTAATTTTTTATCCACTCCTTCCGTGTTAATGGTGCTTACCGCGTCTACCAAGGCGGCAGCACAGTTGGTGCAAGCTGTGTCTGCTGCGTTTAATTTCAAGTCTACCTCGCTAATACTCCCTCAAATCAAACAACACCTTGGTTGGGAAGGTGTTAATAGTAGCAATGATAACGACGATGAGGATAAAAGTATTGTAGATAAAAAGCATATAAAGTGGGATTCCGAAACTACTAGCAATGGTGGTACTGAATCAGCTAAAAGAAACGGTCCAGATATGCCTGTTCAGCCTCATTATCGATCCCCACGACTACCTATTGTTCTATGTCATGGTATGTCGCTTTGAAAGAATGTCAAACAATTCGCTTTCCAATGTTGAGAATTAAACTCGATTCTTCTATTTTATAGGTCTTTTTGGATTTGATAAATTAGGTAATGTGAGATTTCGTGATTACATATATTGAATATTAATCAAAATTCAATTCTAGGACCCGCCTCACTCCCTCAATTACAAATACATTATTGGGGTGGTGTTCAAGAAGCACTACAAAAAATAGGCGCACAGGTTGTGGTCACCAAAGTTCCAAGGTGAGAATTCTTCAAATTCAATATTTAAATAAAGTACTTCATCACGTAACGATACTTATGAATGAATCTCTTAGAACTGGAGGAATTAGATCACGTGCACGAGAATTGCATCGAATCTTGGAATCCAATCTAGCCGGGACAGATGTGAATCTTTTGGCGCATTCAATGGTAGCATTCATTGAATTTGTTAATTAGATTTTGATTTGAGTAGAATAATGAAATTGTGTTTTCTTTTGAGTATGTTCCATAAATAATACAATACATATATAGGTAGAAACAAACATGCATATAGACACACATTAATTCTACTACTGTTTTCTTTTTCCATCGTTACTAGGGAGGCCTTGATTGTAGATATCTTATCGCGCATCTACCAACTGAAAAGTGCACGATTCGTACATTGACTACAGTTGCCACTCCTCATCGTGGTAGTCCTTTTATGGATTGGTGCAGGGATAATTTCGGCGTGGGTGTAGTCCCAGATTCGTTTGGCGCCACGGCTAAAGCCGTAGACGAGACAATGAATCGATTGGAAAATGGTTCACATAAAGATCAACAGAGAGCTGTTTCATCTGATCACGATAATGAAGAATCTATATTTAGTAAATACAGAAAACTTGTTAGTCAGTCTGGAAATAAAGACTCGTCTTCTGGGACTAGAAAAATATTTCCACTTTCGATTCCAATACCAAATATGAATTTCAGTATTCCCAGTATTCCCGTTCCAAACATAAATCTTCCACAAATCTCTCTTCCCAATATCTCGCTTCCAAATCTGAACGTCAGCCTCGCCTTATCTTCCACTCTAGCTTCAACCACCGCGATAATAAATCCTCTGACTCGTTTACTCATACAAGCCGTAGACGCACCAGCATACAGCAACCTCACAACTGACTACTGCACCAACCATTTCAATCCGAATACGCCCAATCACCCATCTGTCGCGTATTACTCTTACGGTGCCGCCGCGGATATACCCGGTTGGTCACCGTTGCATTTCCCATATCAAATAATTAAGGCTAAAGAAGGGCTAAATGATGGGTTGGTTAGTGTGAAGTCGGCGCAATGGGGTAGATATATTCAGACTGTGGATTGTGATCATTGGGATTTGACTGATCGTTGGCGTACTAAGATTGGAGCAAATAAATTTGATCCCGTGGAATTTTATCTTCATGCAGCAACCTTTCTTGCCAAGGAAGGTTATTGAGGGTTTGATGGGATATATATGCCATAGAACTATATAAAGAATGATGTACTTATGTTTCTATAGAAATTCTTTTATTTAAATTAAAATGTTAATCTAATTTCTAGTGTATGTATTAATTTTGAATCAAGTTCATTGTACAGATTTGATATTGAAAAATAATTTCTGTGTATTATTCCAAATTTAAAGATTTAATACGTATATCAATATACTTGCTATCTAGATTAATATGGAACTGAAAAAAATTTATGTATCAAAAACTAAATTAAAAACTTGTATACATTTATATTTTAAAAATATATTGGTAAATTAAAAACACAATATCTCCCTTTTATCTTATATATAAATTAAAATTGAAATTTAGATTTATGAAGAAAAATCATTTGCTAAATTCTATATATAGAAGTTTTATGTATGAATTAGAAAGTTGGTTTCATAATGTTGTAATTTGATATTTTACGGAGATAATCATTCTAAATAATTATTGCACATGATTATTTCAGATGATCACTCCAAATAATTACTTCAAATAATTACATCAAGTGATTATTTCAAATAATCACTTCAAATAATTATTTCAAATAATCATTTCAAGCAATTACTTCAAGTGATTACTTCAAATAATTATTCCAAGTGATTACTTTAAATAATCACTTCTTATTTATCAATTACTTATAAATATTGTTATCATATTTATGAATTCTTGAAAAAGCTGAAAAGTGCTTAATAATATTATAATAAGTTACTTAATCAAGATAATTATAGTAAAGTTTATTAAAAATTATGAATAAGAGAGTATAGTCAAATTTCTTTATAGTCATCACTCTCAGAAAAGCAAAATTTGATGACTATAGAGAGAATGTGACTATAGAGAAGTTTTTTTACTATGTTTATATATAAATAAGAAAGCAAACTATAGAGAGATGTGACTATAAATGATTGTGATTATAGAGAGATTTGATTGTATAATATAATCAAATTAAATCTATATAATATATCAAGTATTAAACTATGATTATTAACAAATTTAAAGAGAGATAACAATGTGTTTATGATATGATCAGCTAAAATAATATCTGAAATTTTTAATAATAATGTTTAATTAAAGGATTTTATATAATAAATACAATCAAATTCCTTTATAATCACACTTATTTATAATCATATCTCTTTATAGTTATTTTATTTTGCTTTCCTATTTACATATAAATATAGTAAAAAAATCTTTTTATAGTCACATTCTCTCTATAGTCATCAAATTTTGCTTTTCTGAAAGTGATAACTATAGAGGAATTTGATTATATATAATTTCATTATAAGATTATAATTTAATAATAATAAAATATAATTTTATTATTAAATAAATTTATTATTAGATAAATTTATTATTAATTTATTATATGTTTTTAATTGTTATTTATTATTTTTGAGATTTTATTATTCTAGTTCTTTTAACAGTATTTGTATAGTGAAAGATCTTTAAATGGATCTTTTCTTATAGTTATAAAAAGAATTAATAGATCAAGTTAAGTTTATTATTAAGAAGATTATATGTTATAATTATAATAGGCTCAAGATAATTTATTAACAAAGCTTCTTTATTATTATACTTTTTATTAGTTAGTGCTTTGCACATAAATTATACAAGTATATAATATAAAAATAACAATATTACTAGATTATTCCAAGTTTATAATCAAAATTATATCAAAATTAAAGAGTAATTATAAGATATTTAATAAGTGAACTTATTATTAATAACTTGTTAACTAACTTAATTATCTTTTTTAACAAACTTATTAAATTTATCATTAAGTAAAGTGCTATTTATATATAAAATTAATTATTACAAAAATTTTTAAATATTCATAACACTAAACTAATAAAAATTTTATAATTTAACAGATCAAGTCAATTCCAATCTTTTCAAATAGTGATCTGATTTCAATTGGATATAATGAATTATTCTTTTTATTTTGCTTTTTTATTGATAAATATCACAAACTTTGATATAATTTTCAATATCTTAATGCATTTTAGGTCAATAATAATTTTGAAAAATTCAATTATAAGTTACTTCTATTTCAATATATCTAGTTATTGCAATAAAATATTTATTAACTAATATTTCTTTTACTTATATAGATCAGATTACTTTGAGTAATATATCTAAATCTTTTTGATTTCTTTTATAAAGTGTTTTGTTTTTGATAAGATAATGAGTTGCTTTGTTTTTCAATTTCTTTTATTCTTTTACTAACAAATTTTCTGATAATTATAGTGTATCCAAATAATTAATAAGTTAATAGTATTCAATTAAATCTATTATAATAGATATAAAAATGAGTTGTTAAGTTATATTTTAGTGTTGGTTTGTTTTTGAATTAATTGAGTTGTTATTGATTTAAATTAGTTCTTTCTGAAAGTGATATGAGAGTGAATCAATATTTAAATGTAAACATCTTTTATGATGTTCTACATTATATATATTCTCATAAAGTCATAACTTATCTTGCTAGTCTACCAAATAAATTTGAAGTATTAAATAAACTTTTCAAAGTACTATAATCAGTAAATGAAATATTGAATTAAAGGTATGATCTAAAATATTCTATTATTTATTTTACTACTAGACATTCTAATTTAATTGCATAATAATTAACTTCACATTGATTTGTTTTTTGATTGGTATAAGTAACCACATGTTCTTTATTATTATCATCTTTTTGTAATAATATTGCTCCAAGTCCAAAGCTAGAAGTATTAGTATATAGTAAAAATTATTTGTTGAAGTCTGAATATATTAATATTGATAATGATATTAAATATTGTTTAAGTTCTTCAAATACTTTTTGATATTCTTCAGTTCAGTTAAATGGTTATTTTTTTTATTAGATAATGTAATGATTTGGCTATTTGTACAAAATTTTTTACAAATCTTCGATAATAAGAAGCAAGATCAAGAAAATCTTTTAATATAATTAAATTATGTGATTTTGAAAAATTTTTAACAGTGACTATTTTTGCTGAATTGAGTTTAATTTTATTTTTGCTAATTACATGTTCAAAAAATACTAAAAAAATTTTTTCAAAATGACATTTGTTGAATTATAATTTTAATTTACTTTATCTTAATTTGTCAAAGATAATTTTCAAATGAAGTAAGTGATCTTTAAATATTGTTGAAAATATATTTGTATTGTTATATTTATTTTTAATGATTCTGTAATTAATAAATCTTTCAAAAAATAGTAAAAAATATAAAAATCCTCAAAAATAGATAAATCAATAAAAATAATATATACATTTAATAATCATATAATAACTATTATTTACTTTTTCTATCTTTATTTTTTACCTTTCCTATCTTTTATATCTTATTTAACTACCTTTTTTATCTTTTATACTTTTATTTTCTACCTTTTATACTTTTATTTTTTACCTTTTATACTTTTTCTATCTTTATTTTCTACCTCTTTTGCCTTTTATATCTTATTTATCTACCTTTTCTATCCTATTTATCTACCTTTTTTATTTTTTCTACCCTGTTTATCTTTTCTACCTTTTCTACTCTATTTATCTTTTCTATTTTTGATATTTACCCTTTCTACCTTTTTCTATTTATCTTTTCTATCTTTTATATATATCTTTTTATAATTTTATAATGTAGATAGAATTAAAATGTATTGACAAATTTTGTATAAATAG